GATTACTATAGGGAGGGGACTTGGGGATGGGGGTCCCTGAGGGGGGGACCGTGGGGATGGCAGATCCATGGGGGGCATTGGGGGAGTCCCCCGCTGTGGGGGGGTCACGCGGTGGGGCTCCTTCGGCTCTCAATGGGGGCGGCCACGCAGCCCCGCCGCACCCCGCACCGCCCACGAGGCGGTAAGCCCTGCCCCAAGCCACGCCCACAACAAGCCACGCCCCCTGGCTTGACCACCCCCTTTTTTGCCCGCCCACTTTTGACCACGCCCCTAAAACAGACCACGCCCTCTGATTTCTAGCCCCGCCCCTTCCGCTCCCCACCCGCTCTCCGTCCCCGCGCAGCGGCGCCCTCTCCCCATTGGCCACGGTCGCTGCGACGCCTCCCTATTGGCTGGCACGCAGGAGGGGGCGGGCCGCGCATGCGCACCTGTCTCAGCGCCCCTCCCTCCTCCCTCCTCCCCCCCTCCGCCGTCCCCTCCCCTCAGCGCCGCACCGCCGGGCGGGGGGAGCAGCGAGCGCCAGGCCCGGCCCTGCCCCGCCCTGCCCATGGCGAGCCGGGCACCGCCGTACCGCGCCGGGGGGCGGCGCTGAGCGGCCCCGGGCCTGGGCCTGGCCCGGCCGCCTCGGGCCTGCGCGCCGGTGAGTGCGAACGGAGCCGGGCCTGGGCCTGAGCCGCGCCCCTCGGAGCCGGGGGGGCAACGAGCGACACCCCGCCTTTTGTTCGGGGGCCGGAAATGGGCGATGGGGGGGTGGGCATGGCGGTGTGTATGGGGGCGGGGGGGGGGTGCGAACCTCCCCTCCACGGCAACGGGGACGCGAAGCCCCGCGCGGCGGTGGGGGCAGAGCGTGAGGTTGGCCTTCCTCCTCGTCCTGCTTCGTTGCATTGATCGCTTTGGGGGTTTGGACCCCCCTACCCCCCCCCCCCCCCCACACACACCCCCCCCCCCCCCCCCGTGTGGGGGCCCCCCGTTTCCCCGGGCAGGGGGGGGTTGGCGGTGGGTACGGATGGGGGTCGGGTTTGGGGGGGGTGTTAAGGGGGGTCCATCCGCACTCAGTGCCCCCCCCCCCCGCAGCCCTCTCCCTGTGCCCCCCCTGCTATGAGCCTCGGCCGCTGCTTCCCCCCGAGCAGCTGCAAATGAAAATGGAGGATATGTCTGTGGCTGGCCTGGATAACAGCAAGCTGGAGGTGAGCGGCCCCATCAAACCCCAGGGGAGGCTCACGCTGCGCTCCCCCCCCCCCATCCATTCCAGTCCCCATCCTCACTGCCCCCTCCCCCCCCCATTTTGTTCTGCAGGCCATCGCGCATGAGATCTACGCAGAGCTGGTGGAGGATGCCTGCCTGGGGCTGTGCTTTGAGGTGCACCGTGCCGTCAAATGCGGCTACTTCTTCCTGGATGACACCGACCCCGACAGCATGAAGGACTTTGGTGAGGGGGAAAGGGTGGGGGGAGACAACAGGACAAACTTCTGGGGTGGGACGTAGAGCTGGGCTGATTTCTCTGCCCCCCTCCCCCTTCCTGACCCTCAGAAATCGTGGACCAGCCGGGGGTGGACATCTTTGGGCAGGTGTACAACCAATGGAAGAACAAGGAGTGCGTCTGCCCCAACTGCAGCCGCAGCATCGCTGCCTCCCGCTTCGCCCCCCACCTGGAGAAGTGCCTGGGGATGGGGCGCAACAGCAGCCGAATCGCCAACCGCAGGTGAGACCCCC